TTTTAGCATAAACAATAATAAAATAATATATATTTTCATATGTATTAATTCTTTCATCAAAAGATATATAGTTTTATTAAATCAAAAAGACTTAAATAACAAAAAAAAACCAAAAACAATGTTTAATAAACCAAAAAAAAAAAAATCAAAAAGACTAAAAATACCCCTAATGTAAATGAATGATTTTTAATAGATTTAGTCCCAATGACGAAAATAACAATAAGTTACAAACCATATAAATGAAAACAATAATAAATTACAAACCATATAAACGAAAAACGAAATTTCAAAATCACAGGGACAAAAATCATAGTTTACTCGAATATAAAACAAATTAATTCGTMTGTGTTTATGATATTTAATAGTATGATAAAATACAAAAATATTCAATATTAGGCTCATCTTGAAGGTATTGACGGGAAGATTGTAATGGTATAACATGTAAAAAGAAAACGTACTTTTTAAATGTATTTTAGTTCATATACAATTATTTATCTTAATATGATAAGAGTGTAAAATGTAAAATGAAAAATAAAAAAGTAATGGATATGAAGTAAACTAAATAACTAATTATAAGTGCCACATCCCCCATTCACGTGGTCGAGAATGGATGGTGTCACTAACAAGACTTAATATAAAGATATAAATATTTCAAAGCTACAAATAAACTCCAAATATAGATTACAACTTTCTAAACATGCTTTACAATCCAAAATATTACATTCCAAAAAGTATTTATAAACTTAGAACATTAACATCTAACGTGAGTTTGAAAACTCCAAAAATAGTACTCTCGATCTCAAGTCCCGCCCTATCAGACACTTGGAACCTGCCATATCTATAAACAAGAATGTGGCTGAGCACAGGGCTCAGTGAACAGATTATAATATGAAGTTCAAAACAACAATAGGTAACATTGATAATAAAGCGAAAGACATACAATTCAATTAAGCTAGATTCATAAATATCAAGACGGTTCATAATTCTCGCTTCAAAACATAATTTAAACAACGCCCATCAATTCATGTAGTTTTTGTAGGCGGCCA